AAAATTCTCCTAAATTTTCATTGAGATTTCAAACTTGAATCCTTGATCAAGTTTGCTTCTAACATAAGGTGAGAGGAATTACTAGTAATGAATGAAAACACATGTCATTTCTATTAAGTAAAAAGTCATTTTCTAAGACAACTTTTAATGAATACATATATTATTTCATCAATGATAATATATATTACTCCCTCCATCGCTTAAAAATTGTCCTCAACAATTTACAGAAAATTTAAGAAATTTATTATTTTATTATTTTTCATTCAAATAAAGAGATTAAATTTCATTTGTACCCTTTGTTGTTTTCTTGTATTTTGCGCAATACTAATGATGGTAAACCAAAAAGGGTACAATTGAAAATTCAATCACATATGTTGTTTACTTTTGAAAAAGTAGTGACAAATTGAGACTTCCTAAAACAAATAGACAAAGAAAATAAAAATGAAGAAATACTATTCTTGGTGAAGAAATACTAAATTTCACTTAATGGACAAAAATATCTTTTCGTAATCTATATTTTACGAAAGTTTGCCAGAATTTTGTCATCACCATCAAGGACTTAGTCCAGCAAAATTATTAAAATGAACTTTTCTTGTCTATATTAATATATATGGAATAATAAAATTTTTCAAGTACGTAGGCCCAGTTTTTCAAAAATATATAATACGAAGATTTTAATATTTTTAAATATTTATTTAGAATTGTAATTAAATAAAATTATTTTATTTATTCAATAATATTTTAAGTTGGACTAGATTTGAACTCAGATAATAATGTCCAAAACTTAATTTAAATCAATCAAGCTACCATTTCTGTCTGTGGATAGATATACTTTTATTTTATTTTTTTTAAGTTTCTAATTTATTCTTAAACCTTCACTTTATTATGTATCTTATTGAAGAAAATATTATATGCCTAAACTCTTTTAAATCCTCAACCTACAAATATTAACTCTTATAGCACATCAATTAATTCAAGAAATAGTCGGCGAAATACTTCGATTGTTGATTTTGCTATCAATGAGGTCGTTTATCTAAATGATTAAAAAGCTGGTTTTTGTCAGCAATTTTTTTTATCTATAAATTTAATGTAAGGTTTTTTTTTTTTAATGCCTATCGGTTTGTTTTGATTCTGAATGAGGAAAGTCTTCTCTCACCTTAAATATTTGTGTAAAAAAAAAAAAATTAAAATCTCCATATCTCAACACTAAATCAATTAGTTCTATTTGTTTTTTATTTTTATGATTAAGATTGTGGCAATAAACTATTAATTCATTCGTAAAATTTAAAGCAAACAGTTATTCAATCAATTAATTCCTCATTTTAATATTAATCCATATTAAATTTTAATTTGATATTTTCTTATAATTTTTTTGTATCAAATTGTAAATGATCAAAATTCAATATACCGAAAAATGGTCAATCAAATAAATTCGACAAAACTTTTTTGTACTTTTTTACCTTTTTCCTTTTTTTTTTTCTTTCTCTCCCGCCCTTTTTCCGTTTCTCGTCATTTCCAGGACTTTGGCTTACCTCGAAGATAATTAAGGCAAAGAATGGTCTTTGGCCTTTTTCTTCAGTGATGGGCACTTAATGAATTAGATTAATTTGGTAGGAATGGGAAACTCATCAGTTAGACAGAATGGAAAGCAATCAAGGTTCGATCATTATGGAAAATATTTCGGGGTTAAAAACTTAGATGCCCAACTTTGAATAAGATTTTTAAAAATTATATTTTTATATAATTTTAATTATAAAATATATTTAAACATATTCAAAATTTAATATTTTAATATATATATATATATTTTTTCAAAATGAACCTATTAGGCTCCAAAACAGAGATCAGACTAGCTTGGGGTTTTAGTAGAAGTCATGAAGGGACAATAAATGGGAATAAAAGAAACAACGCCATATCCAAATTATGAATTCAACTTATTAATTTTTCAAGTCTATAACTTGCAATGAAATTATTACATTGCGTTGCTTGGAGAACACTATCAATTATCGGAACGAACTTTCCACAAATGACATCGATACTTAGATTTCCAAAAACAATAAAAAATAAAGTTGTCTGAAAAGATGGAGATCGAACCTTTGTCTCAACCAGAAAATTTTCCTAAATGGAAAAGCAACTTGTGGAATTTGTTGACTATTATCTTCTTACAACATGCATCTCAATTTTTGTGGATTAATTCAAACAAAATTATGTCAAAACTTCCATTCTTCTTCTTCTTATTATTATATTATTATGCATATGAAATAAATAATTAAATTTAGTTGTATTTTAAATATAATTAATATATTTTATATATGCTGCTATATTGTGTTTCAATTTAATAAAATAGATTATTTTTTAAGTACAAAATCAATACCCTTCGAAAGTCCTGTTAATATTATTGTAATCGTCAGCGTAATTTGGATGAAAATTGCATGAAATCCATCACTTTCATCACCCGGAATTGAATTTTGGATTTGAAACTCTTTATTGATAGAACTGCACGATCTTGAATAAACATTCCAGTTAGAACCCAAATATACAAGATGAAAAAAATGGATATATAACAATTATCTAATTAACTCATTTGAAAAAAATAAAAACATCAGTCAAAAAGAGCCCAAATATCTTGAATACACCCACCTGTCAAAAACTCTAGTTAAAATTTGAGAATATTTACTTATGAATATGACGTAATATCTTGAGAGAACAATTTTCTAATTACTCTTATCTCTAATTCCATGGAGAAAATGTATTCTATCATTATTCCTCTTAAAAAAATTAATGTGCAATGGAAAGTTTTAAGAAATTTTCCTTTCCATTTTGGCATTTTGCTTATGTTTTTGGTCAGATGGAGAGAACCCGTTCTAGATTATGGCAGCTTCCTTGATTTTTTTTATAGAATGCTAAATTTCTTCACCAAAAGTGATAATTGTCAATCTTTAAACGCGCAATACCTTGTCTTGCTGAAAAATTCAGAGCCATTCGCCATAAAGGTCAGCAGGAAACTAAAATTTTAATATTTGATGATGAACCATCCATGCACTATAAATAGCCTCCTTCCCTTTGGTTGAAGCACCACACAGCCTCTTATCAATAAAACTTCTCAACATACAAAAGAAATATACAACAGACCCAAATGGCTCCAAGTTTCGATAATAGCAGCTCACTTTTCAACTTTATCGTCCAAGAGGGAAACGGCGTGAAGGGAATGGTGGACTCTGGCATATCAAAGGTGCCCCAGGCTTACATTCAACCACCAGCCGAGCAGATTGATAAGAAAAATGCAACCAAATGTGAGATGCCACCAGTTGATTTGTCGAGGCTTGATGGCCCCGACCATGATGAAGTAGTCAAGGAGATTGTTAGAGCCGCTGAGACTCTCGGCTTCTTCCAAGTTGTGAACCATGGAGTACCCGTCGAACTACTGGAGTCCCTTAAAGAGACCGCCCATAACTTCTTTGGTCTGCCCGCTGAAAGGAAGGCTGTTTATCGCAAAGAAGTGAGTCCAACCCCGTTAGTGAAGTATGGTACGAGCTTTGTCCCAGAAAAAGAGAAAGCACTGGAATGGAAAGACTATATTAGCATGGCCTACACTAATGATGCTGACGCTCTTCAACATTGGCCTGTAGAGTGCAGGTAATGAAATATGTTTTGTGCTATCTATTCTTCTTTTCCTTGCTATTCCCTAGCCGGATTTATAGAGTTTCATATTCATATAAATATCAATATCCTCTTTGTAGGGATGTTGCTCTTCAATACTTGAACACATCACTTGATATGGTGAGGAAATTGCTTGAAGCTTTGATGGGAAATCTTGGAGTGGAACTGGATGACTCAAAGATTGATGCATTCATTGGAAAGAAGATGGTTAATATGAACTATTATCCAACATGTCCTAATCCTGAGCTCACAGTTGGTGTAGGACGCCATTCTGACATGGGTACTCTCACAATCTTATTACAAGATGGGATTGGTGGTTTGTACGTAAAAGTCCCAGAAGATGTAGACATGGAAGAGAAAGGAGAGTGGGTCGAGATTCCTCCTGTTCCTGGTGCCTTGGTCATCAACATTGGTGATATGTTACAGGTTCAAATCAAAGTTTCTATCGACACTGGTTTCATTTCATTGGAAAATTAATCACACTATATATAGCATAAGAATTTGAACAAATGGAAGATTGAAAAAAAAATACTAATAATTGTGTTTTTAATTTGTTTTATTCAGATATTAAGTAATGGAAGGTACAAAAGTGCAGAACATAGAGTTCGCACCACAAGCACAAAATCCAGAGTGTCAATACCAATATTTACGAGCCCACAAGCAACACAAAAGATTGCACCATTGCCTCAGGTGGTCGAGAAAGATGGAGTGGCTCGATATAGAGAGTTTGTTTTTTCAGATTACATGAACAGCTTTTTCGGAAATGCACATGATGGCAAGAAGTCCCTTGAGTTTGCAAAACCCAACTCGGCTTGAAATAGAAAACATATTCTACTCTATTCTCCGTGATATTGATTCTGGCACATCTATTACTCCCTCTTATATTTAGCACAAGTGTTTTGTTTGTGACAATAAAAAGATGATGATTTAGGGTAGCCTCTGTCATCTCTTCTTTCTATATTTTTGAACCAAAAGTTGTAATTCATCAGCTTCTTATTTGTAATTGAGATCACAACTATATTTCTGATTATTGCCAACAATATTCAAAATATATGTAGTATTAAAAATCAATAATGTAGCATTTACAGTAACATATATAATTTTCTTACCAAAATAAAACAGGGCAGTGTTTTGATTTGGGCAAGTGGATTCAACCCCTGTTTAAAAACTCAATGAATTATGTATCAATCAATTGAGTCTAAATGATATTTAACAAATTTAAGATTTTAATTCCAACACTTACAATACTTTCAAGCTACGGTCTTTTATGTGCAAAAAAAAAATGATAAAATGTTAAAAAAACTCTCAAATAAAAATTTAATAATCATTTAAATTTATGATATTTTATTGTAATTAATCAAATACCAAAATTTCTTATTTCAGATCAATTGAACTTTATATATATATATATATATATATATTTTACCCAATCAAACTACTTAAACATTTATTTTTATTTCAATTGAGTTTTGAATTAAATAAAAATGAGTATTGACAGTTAATTAATTTTTATCTAATAATAATACAATTGATATGCTGAATTGATTATAATAAAATAATAAAAATTTGAATGATTATTAAATTTTTATTTGAATTTTTTTTTCGCTTTGAACTAAAAAATCCTTGTTATTCCGTCCAATACGTAAAACCAATTTCCTTCTTTTTAACTTTCTAAAAATTTTATTTTATTACCCCCGGTCAAGCCGTCAAGAAATTAAAAACAAAGAAAAATCTTGCTATTGCTTTCCATTATTTCTTTCATAGATATTAATGTTTTACAAACAAATACAAAGAACTGAAATTTAACACCTCTATCCCAATTTCATTCCGCCTTTGCTACTTAAATTAAGCCCAAATAACAATTAAATTATCTTTATCAGAAAGCATAAAGGAAAAAAAATCCTTTGACTTTTCTACATATTTTAAACTTTTCATTTTCTTACCGTTTTATTTTATTCCATGCAATATTTTCTTAGAAAACTCAATGTTCTCCGTTTGAAATTTCGACCTCATGCTACAGCTTACAACCAAAGGGCAACATCAGCTGAATGGAAAAAATTTCCACACATGGGACAGGAAATTACTTTTGTTGTATAATTGGAGGGGAAAAAAAAAAAAGAGAGGACAGGAATAAAGACTTCGAAAAACCGCAAGAATATCATTGAATTATAAATTAATAAAAAAAATTGAAGAAAATAGGATTCATAAAATTGTCAAAAATAAAGTACGATCAAACGTTGAAGTCAATATAATGTAAGGATGTTGAATTCAAGAACAAGATGTTGACTTGAAAAATAAAGGAAGAAAAAAAGGTTTTAAGATTTATTAAAACACTACTAGATGGTTGAGGTTATTGATTAATTGTATATCGCAAAAGGACTACTATTGGTAGGGCGCTTTTTTTCTTGTAAAGATTTTATACCCTTAATATTATTTGAATTGCTCTATGATTTTTTTTTTATAGAAGTTTCAAGGTAGAATAAAAAAGTATTACAAGTGTTAAAATTTCAAAATTAAAATTAATAAAATAATATTTTTTTAAAAATGAGTGTATGAACCTAAATTAATTCTTGAATTCTACCATATGATATTATACTATACATAATGGTGATGTAAGATGTACTTGCAGCCGTTGTTGATTTTAAACCGTCTATTCCATCAAAAGGGCAACATTTTCATATATAAAAGCAGCTAAAAAATTATAATTAATGTATTGGTAAATATAAAAATTTTAAGTTTTTTTAATTGACGTTTTTAGTATTTACTTTGTGTTTCGAAAGCAAAAAGGTAAAAATGCATTTGAATAGAAAATTCTAGGCTTAACCTTCTATAAATAATATATATATATATATATATTTACCCACAGGAAGGGAGTAGGCAAGCAAAATTTTATTTGTATGTGATAATCAATGAGGCAGACCATGTCAAAGGGCTCAAGGAAATTGTAACAGCTTAATTGGATGAGATTCTAGGTTTTCCATGGCGTGAACAAAAGGCTGTTGATCTACTAGAATCGCTGAAATTTTTGTTGATAAGTATTTGTCAAACGTTTGGATATTTTGCTGTAGACAAAAGTTATCCCTTGGATATTTGTGCTAAAAAATGCTTAAAAACAACTTTTATTCAACGATTGGTGTTTATTTGGACCAATAAAATGTAATTTATTTAATTATTTTAATGATTATGATTCAATGTTTAACAGTTTTAAATATATATATATATATATATATAATTTTGTTTATTTGAAAAGTTTTGAACAACTTATATAGGTAATATTTCATAAATATTAGCCTGTGTAAGAAATAACAGAACAGAAAAAAAAAAAACAACAGCTTATTATAATTTGGTAATCCATTTATTAAAAAAAAAAAAAAGCAACAATATTAAGATGTTGATGATAAAAGAATTGACATCACTCAATTGGACTTTGATAAGTCTTGACTTTGAATGCTTAATTGAATTTCAGTTATAATCAGCCAATATTAAAGAAATAGAGGCAAAAAAAAAAAGGTTTTTCCAGGGTCTATGTGTTGACTGTTGACTGGCTCTATACAATTAATTTCTTTTGGGTACATATGGTAGGTAGGGGACAATCAAGATTTCAATTTTGGACCCAAATCCTCTTCAAGATAATGACACTCTCTAAGCTCATCTGAGTTGTTCTATGACATTAAATTTGGATTCATACGCACTATAGGTGATTCACAGGTCTCTGCTCTACAAAATGAAATTCTTTGATTTACATGATCCCCGGTTTAAACAGGTATTTATATATTATTCAAAGATAAAATTTCCATGGTGAGTTTTATGGACAAAAAAGTGATTAATTAATTCAAAATTAGCGTTTAAATCAATATCAAATGTAAAAAAAAAAAAAAAAAAAGGAGTATGTCACTTATAGTTATTGCATTAGGATTAACTAGTCACAATGCAATCTAAATGTTACATAATTAGCCGAAAGCAAGTAGAAAAAAATATAATTGCGCATGAATAAGAAATAAAGATACCGAAAGAGATACATCATCAAACCTTAAAACCAATTAGAAAACAAATACATGACCAAGATCTAAAGACACACCAAAAAGACCAGAAAATCAATATCCAGGAATGATTCCACACCCCAAGCAAGAATTTTCAATCACATCTTTTTGTCAACAGACCGACGTAGAGTACAACTATCAAACCACCAAAAGCACAAACCACAATTTATAATTAGCATAAAGTCTATTTAAATTTTGAATGGAATTCATAGTTATAACTGGTAAATTTTTACATAATTTTTCGTTTTGATTAAGCAAATTGCATGCATGATTGTTGTTAAAAAAAATGGAAAGTGTAATGCTTTCCAAATAAACATGCTACTGTATAAAATAAATTGAAAACAAGAGTGATAAGAAAATAGAGAAGAATTTTTGTAGTCTTGGGCATGCATTCGTTTGAGACCCATAACTCATGAGGCAATAAAAAACAGAATGAGAAGCAAATTGACAAACAACTGCTCAAACCCCCCATCCTCAAGTATGAAATCAATGCAACACAAAGGGTGCTAGGACAATTTCAAAGAAATTAAAAAAAAAAAACAAAACAAAACAAAACAAGACCGAAATCTTAGACTATGCTTGAAGAATTTAGTTTGAAACAATGAAAGTTTTCTTGGGTTACAAAACATATGATACAGACTTTCTGCTCTCCCTGATGCTGATCATGCTTTAAAATCTTTGATTTTTATTTTTTTCAATATTGGCAGACAAGAGATTAATTTATTTCCTAAGCAAAAGACTAGACTTCACAATACTTCAGAATACGATTAATTATATTAATGATCACTTAAATTTATAAAATCTTTGCTATATACCTTCGTTTCTAAATCTTAATTATATATATTTTGGTCATCAAGTTAATATGTAAAAGTTTAATACATCACTTGCCGTGTGTTAATGACTTTGGGCGTGCTTTTTCATTTTTGGTTCAAGGAAATTTTTTTCTTCTTGGCAATTGACATAGAATAAAAGAAAATTAAATGTGTCGTACTAATTACTTTCACCCTTTTAAATTTATTTGCTATTTTTCTTCAAAATGATATTTTATTTTTGACCCTTTTATTTTCTTTTGGTCTGCAACAATTGTCATCTGTAAGAAAATATAAATTATTCACTCGAAAGTAGATCTATCCGTGAGTCTGCCCGCTAAAGCCAAGCCTTGGAAAGAAATTTCCAAGCTTGGCTCTATCCAAACTAAAATATTATTTAATTAGTAAAAAATATTTACTTTCAAAATATTAAACTATGATTATAAAAAATATTTTAATATTTTTAAGTAGTATGAGATCTATTCAAATTCAACCGGACGGGATGAAACCTTGAATAGGATTTTTAAAAAATCAACCGAGTTTGTTTCAAAATCGGAAATTTTAAAATTTAATTTGCAACTTATTAATGCAATTAATAGTCATTATCATTTTTGATAGTGGCACATTTCACTCTTATTGCAGCAACTTTAGTGTAATGAGAAAATCTGCCTTCAATGCCAAGCCTATGCCTAGGAATCTGACCGGTTTTGAACAAGAATTTATAAGTTTGGTCCTATATAGGCTATAATATTATTTAATTAGTAAAAAATATTAAATTTTAATTGTAAAATATTAAAATATGATTATAAAAAGTAATTTTTTTAATATTTTTTAAATAGTATGGGATCTAATTAAATTCAATCGGATTAGATGAAACTTTAAATAAAATAACAAAAAATCAGCCGAATTTGTTACAGTTCGATTCATGAATAATTTTTTTAAAAAAGAAAAAGGACCCCACAAATTAATCATTATAACAATGGATGATTATGGAATTCTAAACTTTATAAACATAGAGGATGAAAATGTAATTTAAAAAACTAAGGTCATCAAAATACAATTTTTTTTTAAATTTAATTCTTAACTTACTAATGCAATTAATAATCATTATCATTGTTGATAGTGGCACATTTCTCTCTCATTCCAATAATTTTAGAGGCA